GAATCCTCCTCCTCCTCCCCCTCCCTCCTCCCTCTCTGTGGATGACTTTGTCAACCATTTTGAAAAGAAGGTTGACGACATCCGATCTTCATTTATTAAGTCAAATGACACCGCTGGTCCTGCTCACACTGCCCTACCCTATGCTTTGACTTCTTTCTCCCCTCTCTCTCCATACGAAATCTTGCGACTTGTGACGGCCGGCCGCCCAACAACCTTTTTCGGAGACCTTCTCCCTTACCTCACCTACCTCATCAACTCATCCTTGACCGCTGGCCATGTCCCTTCCGTCTTCAAGAGAGCGAGAGTTGCACCCCTCCTGAAAAAACCTACACTCGATCCCTCCGATGTCAACAACTACAGACCAGTATCCCTTCTTTCTTTTCTCTCAAACTCTTGAGCGTGCCGTCTCTAGCCAACTCTCCTGCTATCTCTCTCAGAATGACCTTCTTGATCCAAACCAGTCAGGTTTCAAGACTGGTCATTCAACTGAGACTGCTCTTCTCTGTGTCACAGAGGCTCTCCGCACTGCTAAAGCTAACTCTCTCTCCTCTGCTCTTATCCTTCTAGACCTATCCGCTGCCTTTGATACTGTGAACCATCAGATCCTCCTCTCCACCCTCTCCGAGTTGGGCATCTCCGGCGCTGCTCACTCTTGGATTGCGTCCTACCAGACAGGTCGCTCCTACCAGGTGGAGTGGCGAGAATCTGTCTCCGCACCACATGCTCTCACCACTGGTGTCCCCCAGGGCTCAGTTCTAGGCCCTCTCCTATTCTCTCTATACACCAAGTCACTTGGCTGTCATATCCTCACATGGTCTCTTCTATCATTGCTACGCAGACGACACATAATTAATCTTCTCCTTTCCCCCTTCTGATAACCAGGTGGCGAATCGCATCTCTGCATGTCTGGCAGACATATCAGTGTGGATGTCGGATCACCACCTCAAGCTGAACCTTGGCAAGACGGAGCTGCTCTTCCTCCCGGAGAAGGACTGCCCGCTCCATGATCTCGCCATCACGGTTGACAACTCCATTGTGTCCTCCTCCCAGAGTGCAAAGAACCTTGGCGTGACCCTGGACAACACCCTGTCGTTCTCCGCTAACATCAAAGCGGTGACCCAATCCTGCAGGTTCATGCTCTACAACATTCACAGAGTATGACCCTACCTTACACAGAAAGCGGCACAGGTCCTAATCCAGGCACTTGTCATCTCCCGTCTGGATTACTGCAACTCGCTGTTGGCTGGGCTCCCTGCCTGTGTCATTAAAACAATACAACTTATCCAGAACACTGCAGCCCGTCTGGTGTTCAACCTTCCCAAGTTTTCTCATGTCACCCCACTCCTCCGCACACTCCACTGGCTTCCAGTTGAGGCTCGCATCTACTACAAGACCATGGTGCTTGCCTACGGAGCTGTGAGGGGAATGGCACCTCCTTACCTTCAGGCTCTGATCAGACCCTACACCCAAACGAGGGCACTACGTTCATCCACCTCTGGCCTGCTAGCTCCCCTACCTCTAAGGAAGCACAGTTCCCGCTCAGCCCAGTCAAAGCTATTTGCTGCTCTGGCACCCCAATGGTGGAACAAGCTCCCCCACGACGCCAGCACAGCGGAGTCACTGACCACCTTCCGGAGACACTTGAAACCCTACCTCTTTAAGGAATACCTGGAATAGTATAAAGTTATCCTTCTTCCCCCCAAAAGGTGGTTGTCCCACTGGCTATCATAAGTTGAATGCACCAATTTGTAAGTCGCTCTGGATAAGAGCGTCTGCTAAATTATGTAAATGTAAAGGAATATAAGTATCCCAAGATGACAGAGATCGAACCATAGAGATACAATATAACACTATTTATTTATGTGGATTGAACATCCAATATGAGCCTGCACTCCCATGCCATCTGAGTGTCCTATCTGCTGTGCTGTCTGAGACTGAGACGTACAGTACATTAGGAGCAGTTATCAGGGCTGATGGATGACAGGGCTGATGAAGAGAACACAGGTCCCTAACGACAGACAGACAGACAGGAAATGAGACGTGCCAACGAGGGCTGTCTCTCTGCCCCAAAACTTCAATCAGAAACACCAGCCGTCGTATTTGAGCAGACCTCCTGAACCTGAGGCCACATTACCAGGCTGTCAGTTAGACCAGGCAGAGACAGAGCAGAACAGCCTTATGATGAAAATGATGATCTCAGTATGACCTCCCTCCTGTGCTCAAAGGCTAATTCTGGCACTCATTCAATGTGATTATTAATCATGCTAATTGTGACACTGTCCGTGTCCGAATACCCATACTTGCATCCTAAAAAATAGGCTGTTTGAGTATGTGAAAATTGAGTATACTTTAAATGATCGGATGTCATTCTCATTTTGGCTTTGACAACAGCTGATCAATTAGATATGGGGATGCGCTACCGAAATCAACAAATAGCGGGAAACAAAGCAATCGCGCATGAATGTTTTATAGTATGTGAATTTTATACTAATTTCGGCTCTTCATCAAGTAGAATTCGATGTACACTTTTCCACAATGCATTGGAAGAGATGTGCTGCAAGTGATAGGCCCTAGTTCTCTTCAAGTAGCCAAACAACAAAACTAGGCTACTTAATTGGGAAGATGCCGAATAGCGAAGCTTCTGCGGTGGTGTTCAAATGTAGGCTAAGTAGTTTTTGTTCTCCTTAAAGTGATCACAAGTATTGCATCATAGGCTACATCTTTGAAAACAGAAGTATTTTTTCTCATTGAAAAGTGTTTGTTCTCTTGGCCTTCCTCAGAGCTTTTAAACTAAATACTTAACCATCTTTTGATTTCTGAATGTGTCGGCACCGGGGACTCAGGATGTGGCTGCTTTATTGATGTTATGTTATTTAGGCCTTTTGATTTTAACATATGGATTGTTTTAGTTTTGTAGGCTAGGCTACCTATTTAATGATTTACAATTTTGGATCAAGCCTTAGCAGTCATTCTGATCTCGTTCCCAATGATCAGTGCTTTAGTTTATTATGTTTGATTTGAAAGGTTTTGGTGTGTGTACTAGACTATTTGATTTAATTAATATACATTACAGTACTTTGGTTTCACTACATTGAAATGAAACCAAATGATCTGTTTCAGGCTTCAGTCCCATATAGCCCATTTAGGATAGATGGGCTACGGTATAGGTCGAATGTGATAGGCTGCCTATAACCAGCCAGAGTAGGCCTATAACTCCATTCCTATTCTATTCAGAGTTAAGCAAAATTAAGACTTGGAAATTTGCTATTATCAGGTGTCCCGTATACGGGATGGTTGAGCTGACATTCCTGGGAGTGTGTAAATGTACACCTTTTCAAATCATAGTCGAGCACCTCATGTAGCCTAGCCCATAGGCCTATATGTTTTGATAAGGTTTGTATCACAACTAAAGTGACCAAATAACTTCTTAAAATTAAACACATTAATCTGCTTTACAACCGGTGTAGCGCCTCACTGGCATACATAGGCAGCGTGTGAGTTTCAAGTTTGGGGAAGATCACCATAAAAATGCACCTTTATAATAAAGCATTACATGCATAATTGCATTTGCGGTCACTTTTGAGAATGGTGTTTTCCCTCTAATTGATTGTATTTAGGAACATTTGCGCTTATAGTTTAGTGCCATGTGCACATTGCTGCACTTATAATGTGAAGAAATAGCCTAATAGTTTATCAACATTTTAAGCTAAACATTCTGATCTGTTGCATCAGCCTCATGGCTTTTAAACGTTTTTTTGATGTGAGTGGGTGTATTCATTTGGGATCTATCGCATCCCACAACTGTCCCAGACTATGTTTGGAATATTTATTTCTCGCACAGAAGGATAAGTTGACCAATAGAATAGGGCAACTTTTGTACTATGGGGGATAGTAGATTGACATAGGCTAGTGCTTTTGCTGTTCGTAAGGCCTACTCATCTTGTTGGCTGATGAAAAGTAAATGTGGACAGTTCTTCTAACATCTTCAATATTTGCCTCAGAATTTGATAAGAACGACGCACGCAGTTGCGTCCCCGATGTGTCTGTCTTCACATGTAGCCTACTTCGGAGCTGAGATGCCTGTGAGAAAGACCCGATCACGTGACAGGCATTGGCTATTAAGAATTGAGATATCTGAGACAGCCATGTGAGTGTGAGGTCCTTCGGAGCATGCAGACGGGAGAAGGGAATTATAATTATTATATTCAGCCCAAGGGCACAACGGCCACACAAGGGGGAAGCCCCCGGAAAATTCGAGGCATTATCAAGTGCTTGTCAAATTGTGAATGAGAGACTGATGAAGTATGTGCAGCCTGCACAAGAAACAAAGCAGAGCTCATGCCTTTTCAAATCATCATTAGAGTCGCATCATGCAGCCTTAAGACATATTACAAATCTAAACATATAGCCCAACGTTTGTATCACAACTAAAGTTGCATAAATAACTCTAAATTAAGCAGAATAGCTGCATGTGCGCACTCCATCAGAAATCGTTTGGAGAAAATATCCTTTCTATTTTATTTAGCTATGTTCAATTGTATTCTTCATACTATAAAATAATGCCACGGAATTTTAAGCAAATCTTGTCTGCTAAATGAACTAGTGTAGCCCACAGCCAGATCAGGGACAACACAGAGTATGCTATTCTGTTCTTCTGAAATAGACTACATTTTCTTCATATCATGTTTCTTTAGACTGGTCTAAAATAAATAATGGTTTTATTGTGATGATGTAGGCTATATTAAATGAATTTATTAGATGTTCCAAAGGTCTGCATCAGTGGCTTGTAGGCTATGCGTGAAAGCCAGGAGATGATACATGCGTTTATGTTAATTAATGGTCAATTACCGTGAGACCGGCAGTTATTTGCTTGACAATCACTGGCTGACAAAATGTCATGATCACCACAGCCTTAATCCCTCCTCACACTTGAGTCTCAACTTCAGCATTTTTCTATGATGTCACAGGTAAATGTAATATGTACAGTAGGGTGAACTCACGTTATAGAGGATGTCCACCCATCCCTCCATGGTGATGCACTGGAAGACGGTCAGAATAGCAAAAAGGATGTTGTCAAAGTTGGTAATGCCGTAGTTGGGGCCGATCCAGTATTCCTGACACACAGTGCCATTTTCACAAGTCCTCGCTGGAGCCTCCATACCACAGGGGAACTCTGCTGCCTGCTCACCTGAGACACACACACATACACACACACACACACACACACACACACACACAACCACAACCAGGTCGGCTCTGTGCGCTAACATGCAAACACAGTAGCTCCCAGAACTATAGGCTTTAGATCAGCACATAATTTATATAAACTCTACATATGTTATAAGTTATAGCAGTTACACAAAACAAAGGTGACTAAGATTTCATAGCGATGTGCATTGTGCATACAGTGGGGGAAAAAAGTATTTAGTCAGCCACCAATTGTGCAAGTTCTCCCACTTAAAAAGATGAGAGAGGCCTGTAATTTTCATCATAGGTACACGTCAACTATGACAGACAAATTGAGGGAAAAAAATCCAGAAAATCACATTGTGGGATTTTTAATGAATTTATTTGCAAATTATGGTGGGAAATAAGTATTTGGTCACCTACAAACAAGCAAGATTTCTGGCTCTCACAGACCTGTAACTTCTTCTTTAAGAGGCTCCTCTGTCCTCTACTCGTTACCTGTATTAATGGCACCTGTTTGAACTTGTTATCAGTATAAAAGACACCTGTCCACAACCTCAAACAGTCACACTCCAAACTCCACTATGGCCAAGACCAAAGAGCTGTCAAAGGACACCAGAAACAAAATTGTAGACCTGCACCAGGCTGGGAAGACTGAATCTGCAATAGGTAAGCAGCTTGGTTTGAAGAAATCAACTGTGGGAGCAATTATTAGGAAATGGAAGACATACAAGACCACTGATAATCTCCCTCGATCTGGGGCTCCATGCAAGATCTCACCCCGTGGGGTCAAAATGATCACAAGAACGGTGAGCAAAAATCCCAGAACCACACGGGGGGACCTAGTGAATGACCTGCAGAGAGCTGGGACCAAAGTAACAAAGCCTACCATCAGTAACACACTACGCCGCCAGGGACTCAAATCCTGCAGTGCCAGACGTGTCCCCCTGCTTAAGCCAGTACATGTCCAGGCCCGTCTGAAGTTTGCTAGAGTGCATTTGGATGATCCAGAAGAGGATTGGGAGAATGTCATATGGTCAGATGAAACCAAAATAGAACTTTTTGGTAAAAACTCAACTCGTCGTGTTTGGAGGACAAAGAATGCTGAGTTGCATCCAAAGAACACCATACCTACTGTGAAGCATGGGGGTGGAAACATCATGCTTTGGGGCTGTTTTTCTGCAAAGGGACCAGGACGACTGATCCGTGTAAAGGAAAGAATGAATGGGGCCATGTATCGTGAGATTTTGAGTGAAAACCTCCTTCCATCAGCAAGGGCATTGAAGATGAAACGTGGCTGGGTCTTTCAGCATGACAATGATCCCAAACACACCGCCCGGGCAACGAAGGAGTGGCTTCGTAAGAAGCATTTCAAGGTCCTGGAGTGGCCTAGCCAGTCTCCAGATCTCAACCCCATAGAAAATCTTTGGAGGGAGTTGAAAGTCCGTGTTGCCCAGCAACAGCCCCAAAACATCACTGCTCTAGAGGAGATCTGCATGGAGGAATGGGCCAAAATACCAGCAACAGTGTGTGAAAACCTTGTGAAGACTTATAGAAAACGTTTGACCTGTGTCATTGCCAACAAAGGGTATATAACAAAGTATTGAGAAACTTTTGTTATTGACCAAATACTTATTTTCCACCATAATTTGCAAATAAATTCATTAAAAATCCTACAATGTGATTTTCTGGATTTTTTTTTCTCATTTTGTCTGTCATAGTTGACGTGTACCTATGATGAAAATTACAGGCCTCTCTCAGCTTTTTAAGTGGGAGAACTTGCACAATTGGTGGCTGACTAAATACTTTTTTTCCCCACTGTACCTGTATCAGTCCTGAAGCAGGTCCGGTGGAACTTGCCCATGTAAAAGTCCAGGCCGATGATGGCAAACATGAGGATAGCAAAGAAGAGCAGCATGCCAATCTGCAGCAGAGGCACCATGGCTTTCATGATGGACTTTAGAACCACCTGAAGACCTGAGAGAGAGAGCACAACATTCTCACTTTACTCTCATGTTGTAGTATTAACATTGATCATAGGAGAGATCCCAAAAGGCTCTTTAAGTTCCTTTATTTAACATTTCTGGTTATCAGAATTACATATGATGACATGAACAAAAATGTAACATATAAATACATATTTTAATTCTTAAAATGACAAACTTCCAAAGTCATTGTACTTACTAGGGATTCCAGACACCAGTTTCAGTGGCCTCAGGACCCGTACTGCCCTCAGAGTTCTCAAGTCAAAGTCTGCTCCCACTGTAGCCAGCATCCTGTTCACAATCAAACAACAGACCAGGAGATGAACAATCAGACTGACAATACTACAATCTGTACCACTATCCATCATAAACACACAATATATAATTTACATTATGAACGATTGAGGAAATTCAAGAGCTTCAATAGAACATTCTTTCCCATCTCCAAACATTACATTCCTGAAAACAATGAGGAATGATTACTTATGTATTTTTATTACCACTATCTAGCATTTCAAGTCAATGTCGAATTTCTCCTACATTCATGAAGGACTTGTATGTGATATAAATCTAAATGTCTCTGAAAAAGACGGCCTACATTGTTGCATTTGATGGCTTTCTGTCCTGTAGCCTTCTCCAAGTGAGTACCTAAGTTAATATTTTATTATAAAATGTAATTATTTATGACAATACATAACTTTTTTTGACAATACCATACTTCGACAGCCCAGTTTTACCCTAACACCGTGGTCTGAAACTCCTGGTGTGCAGGCCAAATCGGCAAGTCACATTAAGATGGCTTGCAAAGTGTTCTATAATTCCTATGTGAATCCAGCCAGAGTTAGGGTAGCCAACAATTTGAATTTTTAATCTCCTGCAATTGAGTTTAGATAGGGAAGATTGATAGATGACACTACCTAAACCATCTAAACTGGAACAACCATCTCAATAATGGGTGAAATAAGTCCTACCACTTACAGATGGGATTAGTTCAGAAAAATGTATGTTATTTATCTTTGTGTAGTGTAAGACCAATGGGCAACCAGTGAAGAACAAACACCATTGTAAATACAACCCATATTTATGTTTATTTATTTTCCCATTTGTTCTTTAACTATTTGCACATTGTTACAACACTGTATATATACATAATATGACATTTGAAATGTCTTCTTTCGGAACTTCTGAGTGTAATGTTTACTGTTAATATTTATTGTTTATTTCACTTTTGTTTATTATCTACTTCACTTGCTTTGGCAATGTTAACATACGTTTCCCATGCCAATAAAGCCCTTATATTGAATTGAATTGAGAAAGGGAGGAGTGGAGAGAGGGAGGAGAGGAGGGAGGAGGGGATTTGCAATAGCTCCATTGCTCAGCCTCTCCAATCTGAGGGAGGGGACAGCAGAAAGTATGAGGGGGAGATAGAGATATTGGTGTAGCTGCTAGTGAATCCAATTTGTAAATGCAAAAGAAAGGTTTGAGCATTACCTAAAACACAGACTGTTTTTAGAATAATACGATCATGAAGTATCCTTCATATTAACCAGAATATTATACCTTGCTTTGTGATTACTATAAAATGTATGCCACTTTAGTACTGCAACAAAGATGTGATACCCCCAGAAAATAGGTTAACATAAGGAATGTAGGAGTGGGGTCTCTGCCAGTATAGCTTAACTGCAGGGTGGGGCAACCTAGAATTGTTGTGGTTCATTCCATTAAAACTGACATTTCCTTCATTTTCTCCTGGATGTGAATTAATCACAGCCTACTAATACACTCCCAGCTGGGATTACCTTCATTACAAAGGAAAGAATTAGGAAATGAAGTGAATCCCATTTTCCCCACATCAACTAGTACATATCAGACTCTAGAAAATATATGGTACGCTGGAGAGGAGATGGCCATCATCGCTTGCTTATGGCCACTACCAGTGAGATAACCCTGTCTCCTAGCATGACTTGCCTTGCTGTTCTAATGTTCCAGACTGCAGCTGGCATCCTGAAATATAGATCACTTATCTTCAGTGAAATCAGCCTCCCAAGACTCCCTCTCCTCTCTGCTCTGATCAGAGCACTCTGCTTTTCTGCCTGCCTGCCTCCCTCCCTGCCTTTTCTGCCTGCCTGCCTCCCTCCCTGCCTCCCTCCCTTCCTTTTCTGCCTGCCTCCCTGCCTCCCTCCCTGCCCTTTCTGCCTCCCTGCCTTCCTCCCTGCCTTTTCTGCCTCCCTCCCTTCCTTTTCTGCCTGCCTGCCTCCCTGCCTCCCTCCCTGCCTCCCTCCCTTCCTTTTCTGCCTGCCTGCCTCCCTGCCTCCCTCCCTGCCTCCCTCCCTTCCTTTTCTGCCTGCCTGCCTCCCTGCCTTCCTTTTCTGCCTCCCTGCCTCCCTGCCTTCCTCCCTGCCTTTTCTGCCTCCCTGCCTTCCTCCCTTCCTTTCTGCCTGCCTGCCTGCCTGCCTGCCTCCCTGCCTTCCTCCCTGCCTTTTCTGCCTCCCTGCCTCCCTGCCTTCCTCCCTTCCTTTTCTGCCTCCCTGCCTCCCTGCCTTCCTCCCTTCCTCCCTTCCTTTTCTCCCTGCCTCCCTCCCTTCCTTTTCTGCCTGCCTCCCTGCCTTTTCTGCCTCCCTGCCTCCCTCCCTGCCTTTTTGCCTGCCTGCCGCTACAGAAAATACAGAAAGCCTCAGGTCCTGGTACATGCTCCTGACTGAACCAGTCCCAGCATGAGGCAACACACTGGTATGACCAACACACTGGTATGACCAACACACTGGTATGACCAACACACTGGTCTGACCAACACACTGGTATGACCAACACACTGGTATGACCAACACACTGGTATGACCAACACACTGGTATGACCAACACACTGGTATGACCAACACACTGGTCCCTGGTATGGCCTCATTTTCAGGGCTTATATTGTAGCTTTACAATATATTGTTTAACGTTCCAAAAACAGGTTTGAGACGATGAAAGTGATGACAGTGATGGAAAAAAAGTGAACAAAATGATTAAAAGAATTGAAAACAGAATGTAATTCAGTTAGACAGAGGAGATATTGACAACCCAATTATCCGGTTTAGATTAATTATCTGGTTTAGATTTCGTTTTTTTTTTTTTTCAAACTCCTTGAACAAAAGGAGTGAAATGCTACACGGGCCTGCACCAGTGGGAAAGGTAATCAAGGCCTGGATTGGCTGAAGTTCAACACCAACCCAACCAGGTCCTATCTGAGTCTGATATCACTGGGTTTTAAGTTCTGGCTGTGTCACTGCTTCAGCCACCAGAGAGGATAAAGCAGGTGTGTGTGTGTGTGTGTGTGTTTCCCCATCTCCAAAGTGGCCAGCATGGCTCAGAGGACACAGTGCAGTGAGAGGCCTACATTGGGCTGCTCCCAGGGGGCATTCTTTAAGCGGGTCAGAGACTCTCTCTGCCATCTCTCTATCTATACTTAAGCCTGCCAGCAGACAGAGCAGACAGATGGGGCACAGTGAGGGCAGTGAAAATACAGCGCCAGCCAAAGGAAGCATTAACATGTTGCCCCAACATTGCAGAGTAAGGGAGACCATAAAATGCTAGTCCCTTAAGTATAGGCCTACACTAAGCTGCTGTAAGAGGTACACCATGTCAGATGTCTTTCTTCAGTAGGAATATAGAAGCTACATTATTCAACTTACTTTCCATTCAATTAACTAAATTGACCATAGCTAAGCAGGTTTCTAAAAGAATGGCCGTACACCAAAATGCAGAAAATAAAAGTATATAATTTACTTCATTATGTTATATTTATGATAGTTGTTTTCCTCTCAGCTGCAATACCTAAATAAACATGTGATTCAACTGTTTCCTGTTGACGATGGCATGCATGTGATTAACCGCGCCTGTGTCCTGGGATCATCTCTACAGCACTGATAATGCAGCTAGGCATTGTATAGAGTACCTTTGCATTATTGCTATTTCTATAGTGCCTCTGCTCTTTGAGAGTGAATTACTTTGTTGTTGTTTTTCAAATACCACCTTGTGGCGCTCTGTGAAGCATGCTACAGAACTTAGTCCCTCTTCACCAAACAACATCTGGCCAACGCCCCATCTCCATCCCTGCAGAGGCATGTACCACTAGATGAGTTACTTAATGGACCTTCAGGTAGTGGAGAAACACCATCCTCTCTGTTTTAAACAGCAGAGCAAACATCTGTTAGACTGTTGCTATGGCTACTGAACTGTCACGCCCTGGCTCTGGGGACTCTAGTATGTTGAGCCAGGGTGTGAGTTTTCATTTGTGTTTGTTCTAGTTGTTGTATTTCTATGTTGGCCAGGGTGGCTCCCAATCAGAGACGGCTGTAGCTCGTTGTCTCTGATTGGGAGCCATACTTAAGTAGCCGTGAGGCATTCATTTGGGTTGGTTTCTTGTTCCGTGTTGGTTTGTGAATGTAACCAGGGACGTCACATTTTCGTTTTGTTGTTTTGTTCGTGTGATCATCTATAAATAAATATGTTCGCATTCCACGCTGCGCCTTGGTCCTCCTCTGTTCCCGACGATCGTGACAGAAGAAACCACCAAGACTGGACCAAGCAGCGTGTCCAGGAGCCATCGCCAGGGAGATCTCTAGCAGATCTCCTCCGCCTCCTCGACTGGGTCAAGCCGGGTGAGGAAGAGAAGGGCCGGACTTGGAAGCAGAAGGGCGAAAGTCTGGCGAGGGACATGGAGACCTGGTCCACGGGTAGGAGAGACGCCCAGAATTTTTTTAGGGGGGGGCTCACGCCGTGGACGACGGGGCAGCAGGGGGCCGCGAAGGAGCGGTTAGTAGAGGAGGCCGCCAGGTTACGGGGGCCACTGGTCACAAAAGGGGAGGAAAGTGTAGAGGCACGGCGAGAGGTACTGGGGTGTGTTACCAGTCCGGTCCGGCCCGTTCCTGATCCCCGCGTAGGGCCAGTGGTGTGTGTCCCCAGTACGGTCCGGCCTGTTCCTGTCCCTCGCACCGAGCCTGTGGTGTGCGTCGCCAGCCCGGGTCGGCCCGTCCCTGCTCCCCGCACCAAGCCAATGGTGCGCGTCGTCAGCCCGGTCCGGCCTGTTCCTGCTCCCCGCACCAAGCCAATGGTGCGTTTCGTCAGCCCAGCTCGGCCCGCTCCTGCTCCCCGCACCAAGTCAGTGGTGCGCTTCGTCAGCCCGGCTCGGCCCGTTCCTGCTCCCCGCACCAAGCCAATGGTGCGTTTCGTCAGCCCAGCTCGGCCCGCTCCTGCTCCCCGCACCAAGTCAGTGGTGCGCTTCGTCAGCCCGGCTCGGCCCGTTCCT